CTGGCCTCAAGCGATCCTTCCACCTCAGCCTCCCAGGTGAGGAGGCTGCATTTAACAAATGTGTCCAGCTGCATTTAACTTTCAGTTCAGTAATTCCCTGTCTGGCAATTTATCCCACACGTAAGTTCACATGTGCAAAATGACATGGTGAAGGATATTCATTGCGACATTACTTATAATGACAAGAGTTTAGAGGCAACCTAAATGCCTATCATAAGGGGGCTAGTTAAGTAAATTTTAATACATACTCCGAGTAGACTGCTATACAGCCATTAAAAAGAATGCAACAGCTCTACATACACTGATACGTAATGATATTCAAAACGTATTATTTGGAGAGAAAAAAGGTACTAAACAACATAGACTATCATTTGTGTTTTATGTCTTAAAAAAAGGTGGGAGTTCAAGGGGAAATGCCTATAAAATACATAGAATATCTCTGCCAGATTAAATAAGATATGGATAACATCATTTGCTTCCTTGGAAGTGGGATTGGGTAGCTGGGAACAAGGGTGTTAGGTAAGCTTAGTTAACCTCTGCATAGCCTTTTGTGCCTTTTGAATTTGGTCTTGTGTCCATGAGTTACCTTTTCCAAAATAAGCAAGATAGTTTTTTCTAAAAAATCCATAGGGATGAATGAGGTTGTCTAGGGAGAGACTAGAGAGAGAAGTGAAGAGCAGAGCCCAGAACTGAGCTCTGAGTACCTCTCAACCTTTAGAGAGTAGGTAGGATTGAAGGGTCTAGCATGGAAGAATGTATCTTTACTTGACTGCTCAGGAATCAAGTAACAAAAAGGAAAGATGATTTGCGAACATGGAGGTGGTTGGAAGTGATTAAAGAAGCAGCTTCAGTCAGGTAATGGTGCCATAACCATATTGGGGGGTGGGGGTGAAGAGTGAACAATTGCTGAGGAAATGGAATATAGACAGTTAAAGAAGACTGATTATGAGAGGGAACAGAAAAGAGGGGCAGAAGCTGAAAGGATCATGAGGTTACGGGAGGTTTTTGGTTTCATTTTAGGATTGGAGATAGTAGAGCATGTTTGTATGCTGGAGGCAATAATCCAGTGGAGAGGAAAATAATGATAAAGGAGAGGAAGAGAGGAGGCGATCCAGTATAGAAACCAAAGGAATAAAATTACAATCTATGTGAGTGAATGAGATGTCCCCAAGAATTGAGAGTTAGTTTAGGATTCAGAGGAGTAGTGAAAGATTACTTTTCGTAAGAAAAGTGAGAATCATGTGATTGTTTTGCATTTTTGCAAGTCTTATTAATGTCTGGTTTATAGAATCATGCCTGCTTTTGCATCCGATCTCTTGCAATAGTACATGTTCTATACCATTTGGAAAACTCCACTGTAAAATTATGAGAGAAGGAGAATACAATTTAATGTTACTAAGAAAATAGTTTGACCTCAGGGAGCGTCTGCCCTGGACCATATTTTGAGAACCTCTGCTCTAGTCAAAAGCATATCAGGAAGCCATATTAGAATGTTTTTATATTGAAATTATGTGTCATTCTGAGACAATGAGGTGATTGAATCCTTGATAAAAATGATGATTAAAAATTTTGGCATGATTAAAGCCTGAACTTCCTTCAAATAATAGGAGCTTAGTAGGAGAAAGAAATTTAAGTTTGCTATATTCAAGTTAATCTGTTTAGCTCAAGCTAAAATAGTGTGTAAAATATTCCTCTGAGTAATTTAAGTGTAAATGACCTCAGTCCACATTCTTATTCTTGGTTTTAGGCAATAGAACAGTAGAACAGACCCTGTTCTAAAGCTGTCTAAGAAATATCTTACAATTATCTCTGTACTTCTTTTCATTTTCTGAATGATAAATATGTAGTTTCTAGTATATACTTACAGATATTCTAGAGATAAAAGTAGAATATTTGAAAAAGATGAGTAGGCAACGTTTTCCAATGGAAAGAGTAATAAGGCTTTAGAATCAGGAAGATGTATGTCTGAATCTCAGCTGGCAGATGGAAAAAATAACTTTCTAGGGTGAATGTGAAATTTGAATGTGATTATAAATTAAAAGTGACTAGCTCAATGCATAGGATATAATAGGCATTCAATAAATTTAAATTCCCCCTTCTCTTTTCCCTAACAATTAGAAAGACTTTTTAAAAATGTAGGACTACAAGCGTGCACCATCACACCTGGCTATTTTTTAAATTTTCTGTAGAGATGAGGTCTCACTGTGTTGCCCAGCCTGGTCTTGAACTCTTGGCCTCAAATGATCCTCCCACCTCGATCTCCCAAAGTGCTGAGATTACAGGTATAAGCCACCATGCCTGGCCTGGCCCCTTGTATTTTAAAACTTCATAAAGTAACTGTTTAACAGTGTAGTATCAGCAGCACTTTTTTGGTTCTGTTGTCCAGGCTGGAGTGCAGTGGCACAATCATAGCTCACTATAACCTCAAACTCCTGGGCTCAAGTGATCCTCCTACCTCAGCCTCCTGAGTAACTGGGACTATAGGCACGCACTACCACATCTGGCTGTCAGCAGCAGTATTGATGACAATTTTTAACATGTCCATATCCTTTCATAATAAATGTACTTTTAGTTATGGATTTATACTTATTTTGAAAAATAGTAGTGATACTTTACATTTGTGTGTTTACCCAGAATTTTCACATAATTTTATTTACTCTTTACAAGTTTGTGAGGTTAAATAATTTTCCTGGGAGTTTGATTTTTCTTTTAAGTTCTTACCTTTTCTCTTGTTTTTTTCCTCCTCGCAGACAGTTCAGTTTGTTCAGGGAATTTTTGTTGAAAAATATGACCCAACGATAGAAGATTCCTACAGAAAGGTAAACTGTGAAACTTGTATACATGTGCTTACAAGTAGTTCCTGTGTCTTTAAACTTGATCTTCCATGGAATTGTTTTTTAAAAATAGTTTTGAGAAATGATACGAATGTTCTGCATCTATTTTTAAAAGTTTCACTTTGATAAAATGTTTCTTATACAGTACTGCTTAGGTATCAGAGTTCCATGTTCTGTTGTTGATTAGTAATCTCTTCTTTAATGTATATATTTTCCTGGTGGGGAATTT